ATAACCCTAACATTAACCCTCCCTATAACACTAACCTTTCCTGTAACCCCAACACTAACCCTCCCTGTAACCCTAACACTGACCCTCCCTGTAACCCCAACACTAACCCTCCCTATAACACTAACCCTCCCTGTAACCCCAACACTAACCCTCCCTATAACACTAAAACTAACCCTCCCTATAACACTAACCCTCCTTGTAACCCTAACACTAACCCGCCCTGTAACACTAACCCTTCCTGTAACCCCAACACTAACCCTCTCTGTAACCCCAACACTAACCCTCCCTATAACCCTAACACTAACCCTCCCTATAACACTAACACTAACCCCTCCTGTAACCCCAACACTAACCCTCTCTGTAACTCTAACACTAACCCTCCCTATAACCCTAACACTAACCCTCCCTGTAACCCTAACACTAACCTTCCCTATAACCCTAACACTAACCCTCCCTGTAACACTAACCCTTCCTGTAACCCCAACACTAACCCTCTCTGTAACCCCAACACTAACCCTCCCTATAACCCTAACACTAACCCTCCCTATAACACTAACACTAACCCTCCCTATAACCCTAACACTAACCCTCCCTATAACACTAACACTAACCCTTCCTGTAACCCTTACACTAACCCTCCCTATAACCCTAACACTAACCCTCCCTATTACACTAACCCTTCCTGTAACCCCAACACTAACTCTCCCTGTAACCCCAACACTAACCCTCCCTATAACCCTAACCCTTCCTGTAACCTTAACACTAACCGTCCCTATAACCCTAACACTAACCCTCCCTGTAACCCCAACACTAGCCCTCCGTGTAACCCCAACATAAACCCTCCCTGTAACCCCAACACTAACCAGCCCTGTAACCCCAACACTGACCCTCCCTGTAACCCCAACACTAACCCTCTCTATAACCCTAACACTAACCCTCCCTGTAACCCTAACACTAACCCTCCCTATAACCCTAACACTAACCCTCCCTGTAACCCCAAGAACAGTAAAAGTGCCATGAAAAACAAGAATTGGATTTTAGATTTAGTTTCCATTGAACTCCTTCAGTCCACATATCCCATTCCGTGATGCAAACACCCGCTGTGCCCTCTATGGGTCTCCGGTATCCACTTCAACAGCCATTTCCTCGAAGTCACCACATTCACATCCTGCCCAGCATAACGGCAGCTGGAATGTGAAAGCAGGATCCTGATTGGACGGCTGTGCGGGATTTATGTTACCTTCTTGTAGACAAAACACATGGAGAGCGGCCCGCACCTGAAAAGTGTGCCGGCCGAAAAGAAGTTACTTCGGACCGTGTAAAAAAAATACAAAAATGTGTTAAATGTCTCAAAAACTGCAGGCACATAAATTGCTCCACATCCCAAAACCTCTTAAAAAAGGACAACGCTGTCAATTCATTCACACCATCCAGCCATACCTGTGTAGCTACATAGAACTGACCATCTTAGGGGGGTAACGTAGATGCGTTGGGGGGAATTTATCAAGGGAGTTGCTCCACTTTTCTATAAGTGACACATTTTCCACGTTATTTGCACCTTATTTATCAATGCAGTCTAAGCCTTGATAATAAATGCCATTTTCGTTAGACATACAGGGGGGGGAATTTATCATAGCAATTGGGAGTGTGTGAACTTGCACGGAATCAGTGGCGTAACAATCACCATAGCGACCCACCATGGTGGGCTCTGCAGGGTCACCCTCAGGTGGGATCTCGAGTGGGCTCTGCAAGGGGTTTAACTAGAAATCATGGGGCCCCATACAAAATTTTGCTATGGGGCCCTGTGAATTCTAGTTACACCCCTGCACGGAATATATTTGCACCAGATTTATGAAGCCAGTGTAATGTTGTTGATAAATGTTTAACCTCCCTGGCGGGATGATTGTGCAGTATTTTTGCATGCCAAAGCCGTACATTGTTTTTCATGGAAATTTGTTGTTTTATATTGTAGGCCTGTAATTCTTAGTAAATCTGAGGAATAACTCACCTAAATCTGTCCCAAACAAGAGTCTAGTAGACATCCCGGTATGATAAAGTTTGAAACACGAAATTAAATAATTATAATATAATAATAAAATAAATGGACCAGTAAATGGGAATTCTGGGGGCGCTGCGTGATCCGTACCACAGTCAATAAAGTACCAAGTTCGCACATCACTGAGCTCGGTCGCAGAATGGTCGCTGTCGCCACTTTCAGTGTCTGATGACGAATATTCCAGCGAATCGCAATCACTCGATTCTGCAAGTGATTCTAATTCACTATCACTGTTTTCTACCTGGTCTAAAACCACTTTTGACCTAAAGGCAGGGGCGTCCCGAGGTTGGGTGACACCCGGAGCGGTAACCGAGTGTCGCCGAGACGTCACCGCGCAGGCATGTGACGTCACCACGCGTGTGTGCGCGAGGACGTCATCGCGCACGCGCGGCAGTCTTCTGATACCTGCCGGCGGCCATCTTGGTGATGGACGCCGGCAGAGAGAGGAGGGGACAGTCACCCGGCGGGATGAGGTATGCCCCCGGGTCCTCTCCTCTCTCCTGTTACTGTCGGGCGTTCGGTCCATGATCGAGCGCCCCCCGCTGTGACGCCGAAAACGAAACTAAAAGGCGGATGCCGGCCGCGTACAGCAGAGGACACCGCGGCCTCGCAGGGACAAGGTAAGTGACACTTTTGTGCAATCCCGAGTGTGGCTCGGGGTAGCCGCGCGCAGTATGCATATTCTGACAGCGTGAGAGACGGGAGTCTGCGCTTGTCGGTGGTTCCAGGGATCAGGTGACTATGAACCACTTCCGGGCCGCAATAGGTCAACAGAAGGCGGGCCGCAGAAGTGGGTAAAACAAGAACACGCTTCTTCAGCAAACGTGCTCTTGGTACCGCTTTTAACAGCAGGCGATGGCTGTTAACTTACAAGCGATCCGGTGTCCTAACCCTGGAGACATCAGATGGCAAATCCAGAGCAAACACAGGGTATGTAGCTTCATATCATTCTGCATTGCTGTATAATGTATTGCTGGGATTTGTAGTCCTCTATAGCTGATGGTATTATTCTGCATTGCTGTATAATGGTATTGCTGGGATTTGTAGTCCTCTATAGCTGATGGTATTATTCTGCAGTGCTGTATAATGTATTGCTGGGATTTGTAGTCCTCTATAGCTGGAGCCATTCTGCATTGCTGTATAATGTATTGAATTATCCTTCAAACCAGAGGGACAGGGGGGCGCAAAATTTAGTTCTGCCCCGGGGTGCCTGCAACTCTGGTTACGCCACTGCATTCAAGTTATCTCCCACTAATCACGGTATCGCTTCTCTTTTCATCGACAGCCGAGTGTGACACAAAAATAAATTCACAAGGTACTAACCGGCTTTCCCTTCAAAATAACCTGTCTATGATTTCCATGTATTACGAACTCAAGACGTGGTAGCCGTATGTATCGTCACTGTATCATTCCTGCAAGCTCCCGGGTGGCCACATGCAACCCCGACAGGTACACCACGTATTGTTATCCAATAACGTATTTTGGCCACTAGATGGAGCTGAGGAGCACAGGAAATAAGTATTTATGGTCACCTAAATGGAGGGGAGGAGCACAGGAAATAAGTATTTATGGTCACTAGATGGAGCTGAGGAGCACAGGAAATAAGTATTTATGGCCACTAGAGGGAGGGGAGAAGCACAGGAAATAAGTATTTATGGTCACTAGATGGAGGTGAGGAGCACAGGAAATAAGTATTTATGGCCTCTAGATGGAGCTGAGGAGCACAGGAAATAAGTATTTATGGCCTCTAGATGGAGCTGAGGAGCACAGGAAATAAGTATTTATGGCCTCTAGATGGAGCTGAGGAGCACAGGAAATAAGTATTTATGGCCTCTAGATGGAGCTGAGGAGCACAGGAAATAAGTATTTATGGCCTCTAGATGGAGCTGAGGAGCACAGGAAATAAGTATTTATGGCCTCTAGATGGAGCTGAGGAGCACAGGAAATAAGTATTTATGGCCTCTAGATGGAGCTGAGGAGCACAGGAAATAAGTATTTATGGCCTCTAGATGGAGCTGAGGAGCACAGGAAATAAGTATTTATGGCCTCTAGATGGAGCTGAGGAGCACAGGAAATAAGTATTTATGGCCTCTAGATGGAGCTGAGGAGCACAGGAAATAAGTATTTATGGCCTCTAGATGGAGCTGAGGAGCACAGGAAATAAGTATTTATGGCCTCTAGATGGAGCTGAGGAGCACAGGAAATAAGTATTTATGGCCTCTAGATGGAGCTGAGGAGCACAGGAAATAAGTATTTATGGCCTCTAGATGGAGCTGAGGAGCACAGGAAATAAGTATTTATGGCCTCTAGATGGAGCTGAGGAGCACAGGAAATAAGTATTTATGGCCTCTAGATGGAGCTGAGGAGCACAGGAAATAAGTATTTATGGCCTCTAGATGGAGCTGAGGAGCACAGGAAATAAGTATTTATGGCCTCTAGATGGAGCTGAGGAGCACAGGAAATAAGTATTTATGGCCTCTAGATGGAGCTGAGGAGCACAGGAAATAAGTATTTATGGCCTCTAGATGGAGCTGAGGAGCACAGGAAATAAGTATTTATGGCCTCTAGATGGAGCTGAGGAGCACAGGAAATAAGTATTTATGGCCTCTAGATGGAGCTGAGGAGCACAGGAAATAAGTATTTATGGCCTCTAGATGGAGCTGAGGAGCACAGGAAATAAGTATTTATGGCCTCTAGATGGAGCTGAGGAGCACAGGAAATAAGTATTTATGGCCTCTAGATGGAGCTGAGGAGCACAGGAAATAAGTATTTATGGCCTCTAGATGGAGCTGAGGAGCACAGGAAATAAGTATTTATGGGCACTAGATGGAACTGAGGAGCACAGGAAATAAGTATTTATGGCCACGAGATGGCGCCAATCTGAACCTCGTCCTTAGTAATCAGCTTTGTCTTTCAGTGATAAACATCGTATTGATCGCTCATGGAAGATGGACCAGACATCTGGAGAACATGATGAAGGTAAGGCTCGCCACAGTCCTATCTCTCACTATACGTCATAAAGGATTGCAGAGTCTTACAGCTGAGCTACAGGCAGAGTTCATGAACACATCATTAAGTATATTTTAATAAAGCAAGCAGTGCGAGTCCCTGAATTTAAATTATTATCAGCCTCCTGCAGCCAGTGAACAATAGAGACAGTAGGAGAGGGATAAACAAGGAACCAATCAGGTGTATTGCAGTGTAGGCAGCCGCAGCATGCTGATAGGAGTAGAGAGCAGAGAGTGACATAGAGATGAACTCAAAGGTCCTCTGCTTCTCCTGTCATTGTTCAGAACCAGGCTTCAGGTGGGCAGGGGACCTGTAAGTGAAAGTGAAACAGCAGCAGAGAAAAGACCAGGTCAGGTTAACTATGGGGCAGAGCTGTGTAAATTCCAGGACTGCATGGACAGGAAGACAGCTCCCATATATTCGTCTGGAGTCCGGCTTTATATGAATCACAGGGGCACCCTCATTATTACTTTTATTATTACCCAGATGATCTCCAGAAGTTCCGCCAGCTGCTGTCCGGGTATGAAATGCACGAGCTCCGGATGATGTACGAAGACTTCAGAGATGACCTGGTCTACATTGTGCAGGTCTTGGACACTCGGAGCCTCTTGGCCGAGCTGAAATGTCGAACTTCTCTAAACGCCGAGGTGAGCGCTCCTTCCTTCCCGCTCCGCGGTGCTGCACAATGGTTGTGCTTTGCTGCTCCGTCTCCCAATGCAAGTCTGTGTTTCCATCCATTGAGCACTATGTCCCTGGGTGCAAAGGAAGAAACCACAGAGCACAGCGGCAGACATTCGAGAGATAGTATTGCTGACACATCTTCTACAGTTGACACTTCTGGGAGTGTTAGTGCCGGCGTCCCCCACTGCACTCAGTGGTTCCATCTATTAAGCACTATGCCCCTGCTCCATTGAGCACTATGTCCCTGGGTCCAGCGGATGAATCCACAGAGCACAGCGGGGGACATTGTAGAGATAATATTGCTGACACATTTTCTACAGTTGACAATTCTGGGAGTGTCAGATGCCGGTGTCCCCCACTGCACTCCGTGGTTCCATCTGCTGAGCACTATGTCCCTGCTCCATTGAGCACTATGTCCCTGCTCCATTGAGCACTATGTCCTTGGGTCCAGGGGAAGAAACCACTGAGCACAGCGGGCGTATTGCTGACACAACTTCTACAGTTGACACTTCTGGGAGACGGTGACCCCCACTGCACTCTGTGGTTCCATCCTCTGAACCCTATGACGCATCTTCTACAGTTGACACTTCTGGGAGATGGGGTCCCCCACTGCACCCTGTGGTTCCATCCACTGAACCCTATGACACATCTTCTACAGTTGACACTTCTGGGAATGTTAGATTCCGGTGTCCCCCACTGCACTCTGTGGTCTAATCTATTAAGCACTATGTCCCCGCTCCATTGAGCACTATGTCCTTGGGTCCAGAGGAAGAAACCACAGAGCACAGCGGGGACTTTGGAGAGCTACAGTAGTATTGCTGACACACCTTCTACAGTTGACAATTCTGGGAGTATTTGATGCCGGTGTCCCCCACTGCACACGTGGTTCCTTCTGTTGAGCACTATGCCCCTGCTCCACTGAGCACTATGTCCCTGCTCCGCTGAGCACTATGTCCCTGGGTCCAACTAGAGAGCACAGCGGGGGACATTAGAGAGATAGTATTGCTGACACATCTTCTACAGTTGACACTTCTGCGAGCACTAAATGCCGGTGTCCCCCAATGCACTCTATGGTTCCATCCGTTAAGCGCTATGTCACTGGGTCCAGAGGAAGACTCCACTCAGACATCTTTTTTCTTGAAGCTTTAACATTTTCTACCTTTATGAAATCCCCGATGCCCTTCTGTGGTTCCACCATTACGAGTCAATGAAAAGAGACCTGGGAGCCTCCGAATTTTCTAAGAATTTGGTAAAAGATGTTTTGGAAAAAGGAAGAGACGCCGTGATTGGATTTTTGGAATGTTTCTATTTTCTACAGACCAACCACCCCCACCACAATCTACTGGCGGTTCTTGGTGAAATCCAGCACATCGAAGGTAACATGTTACTCCGGATTATTTTTTATTTTTATAAACTTGTGCCAATTTTAAATAAAAGTCGCCTTTGTGGGAACTTCTTGCACAGCCGCACAGTCTGATATGCATGCTGCACATGGCTTGAGAAACACAGGAAGGAAGCCACATCTTTATTATCTACCTTTTTCAATACAACAAAACATATACCATAGATATACATGTATAACAGACCTTATAAACACTGCCATCTAGTGACCAAAATTGTATACTGCAAGAGTTGTTGCAATAGATACAATAATGTGTATTCTAACATCCTTAACTGTCAATAAGATGGCAAAATATATATTTTTGGGATATACTGTATGTAGAGCAAGCAAATATATAAAAGTAGCCCCATGATTTCTTACATATTGTTTCAAAGGCCATAAAATAGTTTCTCAATTCTTGTTATTAGGAATAATAGCACGATATTAGGAATGAGTGGAGTTAAGCTTTTTTTCTTGGCAAAATTATGACATTGTTTTGGCAAAAGGCATTGGAGTCAATGAGAAAGGAGAAATTATGTTTCCTCCTTTCAACTAATTTAATTTTTTAGAAATATTGAATTTTTATTATTATTATGTTTTTTATATTGTTACAATTGTAATTACTATTATTATTATTAGGGATGCACCGATATATCGGCCGCGGAAACATATCGGCTGAAAATTGCACTTTTGGCATAATGCCGAAAGTGCAATTTTCCTGCCAAAACATCGGCGCATCCCTGTTTTCTTTCCTCCCTGCAGTCATTTGGGCACTTTGTGGCGGGCCGTACATTGTAGAACTACACCCCCCTATACTTTCCAGCCATGGAAGGTGCCATCTTAGCCTCTTTATGGATTGCCATGACGCTGCACATGTGATCAGCTAGGAGACCACCTATTTTCAAGTCCATTTGAGAGCTTAAAAAAGCAACCTTGACTGCTGGCATGCCTTGAAAGTGACTGTTTTGGGAGACAGTTAAATTGGTGGGTCTAGTTGCATTGTAACAAGCAGTGAAGACTAGAATTCAATATTAAATTGATAAATAATTGCTTACATAAATGTTTATTTGATGATTTCCTGACATATACTTAAATTAAAGGGTCTCTTTGCTTGTTTGTTCAGAGTTCCCATGTGTAGCAAAGCTTATCATATTTTATTTACTAAGACTTTATTCAAAGTGAACCTGTTCTTGGACTAAGGTATTTACAAGCAAGTTCTCACTCACCTCTGCATGTACAAACATTGTGGAGAAATTCATCTTCAAAGTTCACAACAAAGGCACAGAAATCCTAGTTCTTTTCCTATCACTTTCTATAGCCGCAGAATCTTGGCAGCCTGCCAATGTAAACACATCAGGTGCTTCTTACCTTCTAGTAATGTCAGGGACCAGAGCACCTCCGGGTGGCACTGTGGAGCTGCAACCTGATCCTGCAGTTCCAGTGCTCGCCTGCAGGGGTCAGCCAGCAATTAGTCGCCACCTGGTGCTGCTCTGGGAGGGTATTTAACCTCTCCCTGCTGTGAGGCCTGTGCCACAGTATTGTTGCCATATCCTGTTACCAGTATCCTGTCTCCTGTTTCTGCCTTGGACCCTGACTCCTGACCCTCCAGTATCCTGTTTCTGCCTTGGACCTTGACTCCTGACCCGTACCCCTGAGTTCTCCCGATCTGTGGCTCCCGGCTCTTGCCGTTTGTATATAGTGTGGTTCTTGCAGAGGTGGTGGTGGGATTGCCTATGTTTATGTGGTTTGCTATATCTATTAAAACTATTATTTACAAAGATTGTTGTTGTATTTGTAGTGTGGTCACATATTCGGTTCACCTGTATAGGTACCTGCACGTGGTGTTGCGACCAGGGCCGGATTTACTCTCCCTGCTGCCCCAAGGCCAGGTTCCTCAATGCGCCCCCCCTACCCGATAACCCCCCCCCTATGGAGAATAGCAGACCTGCAGGCTGCATACAAGTGATCTTGGCGCCATTGCCCAGATCATTTGTACAAAACAAGCGGCGGCTTCCCCCATTGTACATTCAGCTCTGCTTGCCCAAAGCAAATGTAGAAAACAACTACCCGCCCAGCCCACATGTCCCGGGCTTTGGTAGATAGTAATTCCACACCTCTGCTGCCCCTCTACTCCCTGCTACCCCAAGGCCAGGCCTTGCTTGGCCTTGTGGGAAATCTGGCCCTGGTTATTTAACCTCTCCCTGCTGTGAGGCCTGTGCCACAGTATTGTTGCCATATCCTGTTACCAGTATCCTGTCTCCTGTTTCTGCCTTGGACCCTGACTCCTGACCCTCCAGTATCCTGTTTCTGCCTTGGACCTTGACTCCTGACCCGTACCCCTGAGTTCTCCCGATCTGTGGCTCCCGGCTCTTGCCGTTTGTATATAGTGTGGTTCTTGCAGAGGTGGTGGTGGGATTGCCTATGTTTATGTGGTTTGCTATATCTATTAAAACTATTATTTACAAAGATTGTTGTTGTATTTGTAGTGTGGTCACATATTCGGTTCACCTGTATAGGTACCTGCACGTGGTGTTGCGACCAGGGCCGGATTTACTCTCCCTGCTGCCCCAAGGCCAGGTTCCTCAATGCGCCCCCCCTACCCGATAACCCCCCCCCTATGGAGAATAGCAGACCTGCAGGCTGCATACAAGTGATCTTGGCGCCATTGCCCAGATCATTTGTACAAAACAAGCGGCGGCTTCCCCCATTGTACATTCAGCTCTGCTTGCCCAAAGCAAATGTAGAAAACAACTACCCGCCCAGCCCACATGTCCCGGGCTTTGGTAGATAGTAATTCCACACCTCTGCTGCCCCTCTACTCCCTGCTACCCCAAGGCCAGGCCTTGCTTGGCCTTGTGGGAAATCTGGCCCTGGTTGGGACACCTGTGCTCGGTATTGTGACAAGCAACTAGCTGAAACCCAAAATTTTGAGTCATTGTTGTGATCTTCGAGGATCTTTGAGAATGAATTAATTCCCATTACAAGCAGCTAAAGAGGTCAGGGGTGGCTTGTTGTGAAGCTCTTTTGTAAGCGTTCAAGTCTTCCCCCGAATGTTAAAAAAAAATAAAAAAATAATCTGATAATGTATTCTTTTCTCTTTTGTTCTTTGTAGCTCCCACTCTGAAATATCACATATTGCTGGATGAGTACGGACACTCGCTGACTCCCGATATAAAAGGTACATTTTCAGCAACACAATTATATTTGTATGTTAGCAGTTATAAGGATCCGTGACACACCAGTTATTTTTCGTGGCGTAAGACGGGCGCATTTCCCTTGTGCGTTGACATATGGTGATGTGTATTTGTAATGCATTTTTGGATTTAAGAATTGGAGTGTATAGAGTTAACAGCCATTGACCAAGGCATAATACACTGGCGGAACTACCAGGGTCGCAGCGGTCGCACTTGCGACCGGGACCTGGTGTTCCGCCAGTTCAGGGGGGGCCCAGAGAGAAGAGCTCGCCGCCCGCAGCTGCTCACGCTGCCCGCAGCTACTCATGCTGCTCGCGGCCCGCTGTGTTTTTTGGAGTCCGTGAGTGGCCCTTGCAGGGTCCGCCACGGCCGCGGTGCGGACCCTGCAAGTTGGTACGGTCCCGGCTCCGACCCCCCCTCTTCAATTTCGGTATTTGGTACCTTCCTGTATACGTGCAGGAAGGGTTTTTTCTTTTTCGGGGGCGGAGCTTGCTTTTTAGCGGGCGGGAGTGAAGAGCAAGGCAGGAGCGGAGACTGCTGGCGTGGAAAGAAAGGTAAGCAAGCAGATTTCTGGGGCTGGGGGAGACAGCAGCAGATGTCTGGGGTGGGGTGGAGAGGGGGGCATTTTGGACAGCACAGCAGCCAGTAGCTACTACTTTTTTTTTTTACTTGTCCTGGTGACCACTAGATGGAAACTCTGAAATGTTACAGTTGTCACCAGACCTGGGGGGGGGGGGGGTTTCCATGGTCCCCAGCTCTGTTCTTGGTTCTCCAGCATCTCACTCCTCCTGATAGAATAGGAACAATTCCACCACTTTGTGTGCCTTCTCCATACAATTATATACATTTTAAATCCAACAGCGAGTGGTATCCCGACCCAGGACCAAAACACAGATCTTGCTGCATATGTTTTAAGGGGCACAGATAAGTAAACTGACAGGTATCTAACTTAAAGAACGATCACTGTTGAGTAGGCTGACCCATTTATGGATTTAAATTGGGGGAGGGGCTCGCAGTCTCCGCTCTAATTCATCCCAAAGGTGTTCTATGGGGTTGAGGTCAGGACTCTGTGCGGTCAGTCACGTTCCTCCACCCCAAACTCCCCCATCCATGTCTTTATGGACCTTGCTGTGTGCACTGGTGCGCAGTCATGTTGGAACAGGAAGGGGCCGTCCCCAAACTCCTCCCACAAAGTTGGGAGCACAAATGTTCGTAGAAGTGTCTGCATGCCGAGGTGCGTGATTTTATTCACCTGTGGCCATGGAGGGGATTGGAACACCTGAATCCAATGATTTGGAGGGATGTCCCAATACTTTTGGCAATATAGTGTATATGATGTATGAAGCAGAACTTAAGGTCCACTTTAAAACTAGGTCTAAATACAAATATGCCTTTGTGATAAATAGGACAGTCTAAACTGTTTGTCATCTATTATGATGTCTTGAAAAGTGATACACATTCCTATATTTTCTTGCAAGAAATCCAAGAAAAGCACAAGCAGTTCCTGCTGGAGACGACTCAGGCGTTAGTGGAAAATAAGCCACCGGGAACCAGCTTGGAGAGTCAAAGTTTCCCCATTTCAGAGCGTTACGTGGATCTGGTTGTCGTGTCCACAGAGAATTTTAGACGCCGCACTCAGCACGAGCTGATAGAGATCGGGAAAAAACATGAAAGCTACTTGTACAAGACTCAAAGAGGACTGGAGCGCATTTCTCCCAAAAGGCTCTTTCGCTGGTGCCACCAAATAAAAAGTGTGCCAAATGTCATAATGATCAGCGGGGTACCAGGAGTAGGGAAGACCACCCTAATGCAGAAGTTTGTCTGTGATTGGGTGAATGGAAAGCTCTATCAGAGATTTTCTTTTGTTTTCTTCTTCAAATTCCGGGAGCTCAACCGGCTGAAAAAAGTCAGCTTGGAGGAGATGATCCTTCACCAGTATCCTCATCTAAATGGTCAACTTGAAAACATCTTAAAAAACCCGGAACAGCTTTTATTTATCTTTGATGGCTTGGATGAAAGTCGCCACCAGATGGACTTTGCATCAAGTCCTCTGTACACCAACACAAAGGACAAGCGAGACCTTGGCGTGATCCTGGTTAACTTGTTGAGGCAATCTGTTCTCAAGGGTTGCTCGGTGCTAATAACCAGTAGACCAGCCAAACTGGCCTCCATTGATGCTGACATTTTTCAGCTAATTTGTGAGGTCATGGGATTTTTTCATGAGGAACGAAAGAAGTACTTTGTCCAATTTTTCGGAAACGAAGATCTGTCCAAGAAGGCTTTTGATCACGTGAGGGACAATGAAGCTCTGTACACTTTCTGTTACATCCCATCATACTGCTGGATCATCTGCACGGTGTTATCGATGTACTTCAACGCTCATCAAGCACACAACGAGAACCCATTGATATTTTTACCCAAAACTGTGACGCAGCTCTTTGTGACATTTATCTGCAACATTCTGGCCAATCACACCCAAGAGGCGGACTGTGCCAGGAACCTATTAATGCCTCTCGGATGGTTGGCAGAATATGGGGTAATGAACCACATCATTGTGTTTGAAGGGCGAGATTTGGAATCGTTCAACGTGGACACTTCTTCACACGTCTTCACAAGTTTTATGGTGGAATCCACTCAGACTCTGTATGCCAATTTTTCATTTTTACATCTTACTGTCCAGGAGTTCATGGCTGCCTTGGCCCATCACATTGACTATGACCCTGACAACTTACTGGAATCTCTTGACAAAGCCAAATCATTTCGAGATGGGCGTGCTGAAATATTCCTTCGTTTCCTCTGTGGTCTGTCTGATGGCTCCACCAAGGCTCTTCTTAAGTCCTTCTTGAATTTCTCTACCGACGCTTCCAAAAATGTCATCACATGGCTACATCAACAGTCTCCGCTGGTCAGGAAGCTGACAAAGGATGCTTGGGACAGGAGGGAGACTTTAAATATTTTCAACTACCTCTTTGAATCTCGAAACAGAAAACTCGTGTTGGAGGTTCTTGGCCAAAACCTGACATTTGATTTTTCAAGGTTCAACCTGACCCCCCTCGACTGCACGGTCTTGGCCTTCATTTTGATCTCATGTGAAGAGACTGAACTCCTCGATCTAGAGAAATGTTACCTTGAGACGGAATGCTGGGAGAGACTTTCTACCAGCCTTCACGCTGTCCAGAGACTTGGGTTGGTAATTTTTTGTCTACTTCATGTATATTTAGTGAAACACGTAATGCACTTCATTACTTTAGTCCATTGATCATAGTTACCAATATTGGCAAAAAATTTTGTAGGAACTCAACGAGGCAGCTTTTTTGCAGCATTTTTCCCTTTCCAGAAACGTTTTTAATACATTAGCAAAGAGACTTTGAACTTGCTTGTACTGTATATGACTTGCTTGTATATGACTACCTCAGGAAGAGTCAACTCCCTAGCACAACTTCCCTCCTTGCATGTCATAGATCATATGACCAAATAAAGAGCAGAAGAGGAAACTCTTCCGCTCCTTAACCAAGACCAGGTGTTTAGACCCCCCCATCCAGGCCATTTTTCAGTGTTCAGCGCTGCGGTACTTTGATTGACGTTTATTCCGTCATGCAGCGCTGTACTGAAATGAATTTTATACCATTTTTGTGGACAGATGGAGCTTTCTTTTGGTGGTATTTTATCACCACTGGGGGTTTTATTTTTTACTATATAATGAAAAATTGTTGAAAATTTGGGGGAAAAAAAGTATCTCATCAGCTCATCAGTTTAGTGTTATCAGTGATTGATGGCCCTAGAACTATTGCTCTCACTGCGACGTTTGCGACGATATATAACATGTGTGGCGTAATGGGCGAAATCGTCGTTTTTGCACGTATGCGCACCCGACGCCTGTTTGCATGCGTGTATGTATGGGGGAGGACTTAAAAAATTTAAAATTGAGCTCTTTTTTTATTTGTAACTTTACATTTTTTGGGGGGGGAAACTTACTTTTTTTTTCCACTTAACTTTATTGCTATCAGATAGGGGGCTAAGAAAACCCCCTTATATGATAACAAAAGATATGACAGGTCCTCTTTATGGAGACATCAGGGGTCTCCAAGACCCTTAATGTCACCTAGGACCAACCTGAAGAAGCTGATGAAGCACAGATCTGCTTCATCAGCTTCTCTCCAGCATCTGAAGCTGGAGAGTGACACAAGAATGCGGAAGTGATGTCATATACATCACTTCTGCATTCTGACAGCGGAGAGGGGACCGGAGGGAGCTCGTGTACCAACCTCCCTCTGATCCCCTGTGACAGAGGCAGTATGCTGGTCCCGGGCTCGCACAACGGAGCCCGGGACCAGCGTGACAGGGGTGGGGGAGGATGGGGGGGAGCCGCGCTCTATAGCCTGCGGATCGCTTGTATATTAACGGGCATCGCTTGCATATTAACGGGCTCACGCCAGGGGGCGTGGCTGAGCGGACGTCTAAAGACACCCGCTCATCTCTAGAAAGCTCCTGGCCGGCCGTTTTTTTTACAACGGCCGGCTGGGAAGTGGTTAATTGCTCACTGGGCTGGCCCAGCTCTTTCACTTTGCTTCCTTTGCACCTACCTAGATAACTTTTATGTAGCTGCTGGGGAGGAGCAAGGAGAAAACTAGAGAGAGTCACTTGAGTGACAGCTTTGAGCCTGCTAAGGCTGATGTCACATCCAAGATGGTGGCACCCAGAAGCAGTCTCGTGACTTCTGGATGTCTACACAAGGGAGGCTTTTACAGGTAATGATAGGGTTGCCACCTTTTCTTCCAGTGAAACCCGAACACTCTAGTAGCGCATGGAAATGTTTTGGGGAGAATGAGTCGCAGCTTATTGATTTGTAAATAGCGTCACCCATTCATATGTAAATATCATAGTCAAGACTATTTTCAGTGGGGGGGCCAGTAGCCCCTATCTTAATTTTGGTTGCCCCTGTCTGCCTGATATCATGTGTCCGGGTTTCAGCTGCCATGAAACCCGAACACAGCATTCAAAACCCGAACTGTCCGGGGGAATCCTGGACAGGTGGCAACCCTAGGTAATGAACATGCCTAAAATATTGTAAATGCACATATCCAAAGTTTGCCAAAATGTCTGCTGGATACAAATTTCTCTCACCTGTCCCGATTAATTTTCAGAAGTATAAAAAAACTAACTGATTGCTAAGGGATAACTTGCACATTATGGAGTCAATTTATATATTTTTTTTCGGTACACGCCGAATACCGATACCAAAAGTCCCATCAAGGAAGCCAGACGGCATGTAAAGACTTGCCACCCGACTTCCCGATTAGCAGGGAAGCTGTCTCCATGCTCCCTCTTCACCAAGTGAGGAAGGAGCATGGAGCTGGCTTTCTGGCCAATCAGAACGCTTGGGGGGCGGATGACTTGCCGCCCGGCTTACTGACAGGAAGCTAGGCAGCGAGTCATTACATGCTGCCCGGCTTCCTGGGAGCCGGCTTCTCGGCCAATCAGGAACCCGGGCAGCGTGTAATGACTCGTTGCCCGGCTACCTGATACCAGAAGCTCAGGTATCGAGCTAGGCATCAGAGCACTCTCCCAAATACTCGGCATCAACACCAATACTGATGCTAGTATCGGTATCGGTGCATCCCTAGTTCTTACTATATATTATTTTAGGGTGTATGTAATGTAATACCATATTATGGCCACTAGATGGAGCTGAGGAACATAGGATACAAACACCTATTTCCTATACTTCTCAGGTCCATCTAGTGGCCATAATGCAGTATTACATTATATTACATTCGCAACCGGGGAGGGAAAAAAATCAAGAATCTTTTTGCCTCTATTCACACAGAATGAACCTTCATAGAGATTCAGAGGGCAAATGGCTTTGAGAATTGTTTAGCTGAAAGCAAAATTTTGCTAATTGATCTCCGGTTTCCTTTAATTGAACTGCTCGCTATAAATTTCTACGTTTTTGGTGGACTAAGAGCTCCGATGTCGTATTATTGAGCATTCTATGACTCACACTACCAATGTTATATTTATAAATCTCTCTACAGACTAGTGTCCAATGAGGTGAAGGATGAAGATATCCCTTTCATAGCTTCTGCATTAGACCATCCTGACTGCAAGATCCAGAATCTGAGGTAACTTTTCCCTACAGCCTCAAATACAGAAAAGCTTAAATATAACTAGAATTTGTTAAAACGTATTTTATGTTATTGTGTTTTCCCTTACTTCCTGTCTCTGTGATGCCGGTAAAATAATGTGAGTGGGTAACAGTTATCACATGGACATGATTTCAACCACAGATTGCACTATTAACATTATCAGAAGTTATAAACCTTCACTACGTCCTTCCTAAAATTGATATTTTGTGTCTGTGTCCCCATTGAAGAAATCTCCAGTCACTTCCTGTCCTGACAGGAAGTGAGGATACATCTCCCCAACAATCTCAAAGTCCCACAATGAAAGATATATGCTGGAAGGTGTACAGATCCATGTGACGGACCGCCTGGTACCCCTCCGTCAGAAATCAGCGTCCTCTCTGCTGGAACCTGAATTCCAGTGTCCTCAGCCCAAACCTGACTAATTATTGGACGGAACCAATGTTTTAGGACAGAAAGCTAAACCCCTCAATCATCAGACAACACCAATGTTGAAGTGGAAACCAAGAACTGCTTTTTTGAAGAAAGCACACAGAGTTTATACCTCACAGAATCAGATTAGAGTTCAGTGTGTTGAACAGTTCCCACCCCTAGACAGCCGTGTGCCGCACTGGAATTCCTTAAGCACAGACACTCTTTGAACCTAATGAATGTCCTTAATTAGATAATAGCTTGATCATCCCAAACAATGGCCCCTCCAGACAGCCTGCTGCCTATAATGAACACAGGGTCACTTAAATGTAATGTCAGGGAAAACATGCAGTATTTTGCCTCCACACATAAACCTAGGATAATAGTTCCATGTGACCCCAAGAGGCCTGAGGGGGGTCTCCATAGTTCTAGGTCCATAGTCAGTAGGAAAGAGGCTAGCCCTCAGGCTCCTCCAGCAGCCCCAGTGACCGTTCAGTCCATCACAATCCATTCCTGGGACCAACTAGCATGGTCTTTGGCCAATAGTGGCTGCCTCATGATGTCAGGAATATCTGTTTAATGGCAATTCTTTTCTCTGTCTTATCTCTTCCCTGCAGTTTGAGTAATAATCTGCTGACACACACGGCCTGCAAATACTTGGCCTGTAAAATGACAAACAACCAGTCCCTGAAGACACTCAACTTGTCCTACAACAATCTGAGTGGCCCTTACTTCCGCGACTTGATGGCGGCTCTGTCCACATGCAGAGTGGAAGAACTTCTGTGAGTATATGGGGCATCTTGGTTTTCGAAGAGCTACAGTAAAGGAATGTTTCAATCTGGAGGACCATAGACTAAAGCTGACCTGTATTTAAGTATTTACATTTTTCTAACAAGCAATGAAATTGGCCTTAAAACAAGCCCTTGCTGACCTCTGTAGCTGAAGACACTGTGAAGCAATTCATCCTTAAAGTTTTCAGCAGAAGCATTGAAATTGTTCAAGATGTTCTCTCAGCAACTCAGCCTCAACCACCTCCACCATCTCAGAGCTCCTAGTCTGTGTTTGCATTATAGATGGGACGGCTGTTGAGTCATTGCTGGGAGGGCGGGACAGGGGAAGCTGAGCTGTTGAGTCATCTTTGGGAGGGGGGAACAGGGGAAGCTGAGCTGATGAGTGACTAGTGGGATGAGGAGAAGGAAGAACATGGCTGCTTAGAGAATAACTGGAATGTTTTAGGTGCTTTTTCCTGTAAATTTTGACAATAAGTTCCTTCACAGTGCCTGCAGCTACAGAGATAAGTGGAGATTGGAAAGCTGTTGAGTCATTGTTGGGAGGGAATAACAGTGTGAAGTGAGCTGATGAGTGACTACTGGTATGAGGAGCATGAGGAACAAAGCTGCTTAGAGAATAACTTAAATGTTTTAGGTGCTATTGCTGTAAACTTTGACAGTAGATTGCTTCACAGTGCCTGCAGCTACCAAGATCAGGGAAGATTGGAAGGCAGTTGAGTCATTGTTGGGAGGGAATAGCAGTGTGAGCTGAGCTGATGAGTGACTACTGGGATGAGAAGCAGGAAGAACATAGCTGCTTAGAGAATGACTTGAATGTTGCTTTTGCTGTAAATTCTGACAATAAGTTCCTTCACAGTACCTGCAGCTGCCAAGATCAGTGAAGATTGGAAGTCAGTTGTGTCATTGTGGGGAGGGGGAAACGGGGAAGGTGAGCTGTTGAGTCATTGTTGGGAGGGAATAACAGTGTGAGCTGAGCTGATGAGTGACTACTGGGATGAGGAGCAGGAAGAACATAGCTGCTTAGAGAATAACTGGAATGTTTTAGGTGCTTTTGCTGTACATTTTGACAATACGTTCCTTCACATTGCCTGCAGCTACAGAGATCAGTGGAGAATGGAAAGCTGTTCTGTCATTGTTGGGAGAGGGGGAAAAGGGGAAGGTGAACTGGTGAGTTATTGTTGGGAGGGAATAACAGTGTGAGCTGAGCTAATGAGCGACTTCTGGGATGAGGAGCATGAAGAACATAGCTGCTTAGAGAATAACTTAAATGTTTTAGGTGCTATTGCTGTTAACTTTGACAGTAGATTGCTTCACAGTGCCTGCAGTTACCGAGATCAGTGAAGATTGGAAGGCAGTTGAGTTATTGTTGGGAGGAGGGAACAGGGGAAGGTGAGCTATACTCAATAGCTCACCTTCCCCTGTTCCCTCCTCCCAACAATAACTCAACTGCCTTCCAATCTTCACTGATTGTTGGGAGGGAGAAAAAGTGTGAGCTGAGCTGATGAGTGACTATTGGGGTGAGGAGCAGTAAGAACATGGCTGCGCACAGAATACCTTGAATGTTTTAGTTGCTTTTGCTGTAACCTGTGACAATAAGTTCCTTCACAGTGTCTGCAACTACAGAGATCAGTGAAGATTGGAAGGCAGTTGAGTCATTGTTGGGAGGGGGGAAAAGGGAAGGTGAGCTGTTTAGTCATTGTTGGTAGGGAGAAAAGGGGTAACCTGAGCTGATGAGTGACTACTGGGATGAATGAATGAATTCAGACTGCACAAAACTGACAGTTCCTTCAGATTATTTGGTGAATTCGGCTAATTGATCTAAACGTTTACAGAAACACGAACATTACCATTCAGACTGCATACGATTTTTACCAATAACTGGTTTATGAGGACTAAAAATGATCCCCACATCCTTTTACTGCAGGCTCTATCACACCAGTCTAACACATGAAGATTCCCAGTTCCTCAAGCTACTGAGCAGCACCAAAAGCCTCACCTCCCTAAGCATAAGCTACAACAACATCACCGATGCTGGGTCAAGACACATTATCAACCTGATAGAGAATTCCTCCAGCCTAAAAGGCGTCAGGTATGTAGAGAAGAGACATCGGATGAAATATAGCATCTCAGTAAAACCAGTTCAAGTTTGAGCAGACATCGAGTCACTCTACAAAGGCTGCCAAAGGAACTGGAGCATTGCTCAAGGAGAGATTTGCCCATCCTCATGGAAGTGAAGAGAACAAGCTTCACCTGGTCTAAGGCAGCTTTGGTAGAGTGACCATAAGATGTTAGGGAAGGAGCGAAGTCCCCCTGTTTGCTGGATTGGAACCCAATAGCAGGGAACAATCCCAGAAGGAGAGTCCAGGCTGAGGTACAAGAAAGGATAATCCAAAATGCGTTTTCAGAGTACAGTCCGGGTCGAGGCAGGCAGCGAGTATCATAAACGGTGAGGCAAGCCAGGTGAGGCAAACCAGGAGATCCGAATAGCAGGGAAGGGAGGCAGGAAACAGGAAATGAGGCGTTGTAGCTGCTTTGGGAATGGCAGAATAACTTAGCAACAAGTCTTGGCTCTGGCTGGAATTTAAACCCAGCAGGGGCCAGCGACACCCCCGTTGTCTGGGCAACCAGGAAGCCACAGGTCCCTGCGAAACAATGGGATGGCTGGGAGAGAAGGAGTGCTCGCAAGGCCCTCCCCGGCAATGTCCAGCACCCGAAGCATCTAAGAAGCCACGACAGTGCCACATGCGCATGTCACGCACGTCATGCATGCGCTCATGTGCACACCTGCGGGCACCAATTCACCCCAAGAAGGACCCTACGATCATCTCCGTCGCACCCGCCGGACCCCAGGTAAGAGGGCACCCCTGGTCCCACGACATAAGATGAGGTTCTTATTAATAAAAAGGTGTTGTAACCCTCTGTGTACTCTAACTGGTGGAGGACACATTGTGAAAACATGTTCTGCTAGTTCCTGTTCCAAGAAATGAGGCAGAAACCCCACTAACCTTCTTTTATACATAACAGACCCCTTAACCCCACCAGATCCAACAGAACCCACATACATGGCCATATCTTGTGGCACCTAAACGTAACCTATACTGATAGAAATAGGGAGTCTGCTATTAGCTCCTTGGCTGCCTTTGGCTTTAAAGTAGAAGTTCAGTCTGTAGAATAATCTATGCTGCCTTCAAATTGCCCTGCATACACTTTATCTTTAAATACCTTGTCCCTAATTTTTCTATATGGTCACGTCACGTGACCGCAAACCTCAAGCTTCTCGGTGTGATGTGCAGGGCCGTCAACTGGGCTAAATTCCATAGAACAGTGATGTCACCCACCGGTGTCCACTGCTCTAGCCATTGTTGGAGGGGGAGAGAGTTTACCTAGCCAAGCCAAACAATTCTCTGTGGACACGACAATCAGATCCACATAGCGCTCTGAAATGGGGAAACTTTGACTCTCCAGGGTGGTTCCAAGACAAACATTTACACAGAGGTCACTGACCCTAAAAAAAGAATGCTGATTAGCCAACCACAGTATTGACTCTTACATATCCGAAGTCATTGTCAATCAATATGTTTTGAGGGAAGTTTTCAATAGAAGCCTCCATACTTTCCATAGGACATGTATACTTTATTTAGGATGTACACTATATTGCCAAAAGTATTGGGCCCCTCTCCCTCCAAATCATTGGATTCAGGTGTTAGGTTATAAACATGACTGCGCACCAGTGCACAAAGCAAGATCCATAAAGACATGGATGGGGGAGTTTGGGGTGGAGGAACGTGACTGGCCTGCACAGAGTCCTGACCCCAACCCCATAGAACACCTTTGGGATGAATTAGAGTGGAGACTGCAAGCCCCTCCCCCAACATCAGTACCTGACCTCACAAATGGTCCAACATTCCCATAGACACACTCCTAAACCTTGTGGACGCCTTCCCAGAAGAGGCGGAGCTGTTATAGCTGCAAAGGGTGGGCCAATTTAATACTGAACCCTACGGACTAAGACAGGGATGTCATTAAAGTTCATGTGCGTGTAAAGGCGTCCCAATACTTTTGGCAATATAGTGTAGCTAGAGCCAGGGCAGCCTTCAGAAATTGCGGGGCCCCTTACACAGCCCTGTCTCCCCCGCACCGCCCTGTCTCCCCGCACCGCCCTGTCTCCCCGCACCGCCGCCACGCTGAGCCAGTCAGTCAAACTGTTATTATTATACATAATATATATATATATAGCACTGTTCCCCCAGACGTCTCGTTACCTTTTCACTCCAGTGCAGTCCAGGACCAGCAGCTCAGCTCAGCTCTGCTCCTCTCCCGACTTGCTCTGTGCACTGCTCGTTCCCCAAGCTCCGCCCCCAAAAAACCTTTCCTGCATATGCAAAGCACAGGAAGGTACCAACTGAACAGGGAGCAGGGGGGGGGGGCGGCCCGCACCGGACCGTACCAAGTGGGGGCGAGGGGGCCCGGATCAAGTTTGCTGAATGCCGCGGCGGGCCCTGTAAGAGGCTTCACAGTTGGCCGGATAAGGGTCCTGGGCGGGCCCCTGAGGCGGCCATTAATATCGGCCGTACCCCCCTGACGGCGGCCCTGGCTAGAGCCACAAAAAAGACATTGCCATCCAACTTGGCTAAAAAACTCTGGATCCGAGCACTATCATTTCTTTTCTATGGCCAGATTTAGGTAAGGTTTTTCACTCCTGGTAAGTGCTTCTCATCTGTCACAGACAGTTCGCATTTCAGCTGAGCTTCATCTGTTTTTTATTTTGCAGAATTCTCGTGAATGGCTTTTCCCAAGAAGTTAAAGGAAGTTTTAAAGGCCTAAAGAACAAAGCAGACATGGATGTTAAAGTAGTTTGAATGGACATAGAAACCCGAAGCCTACGTGGGCTTCAAAGGACAGCAGTACCAATGAGTCTTGGATCAACTTTCAACACATATTTTCCACAAGGGGTGGCCTATCAATGCTCCAGCATATGCTTCTGAATAGCGTTAGAGAATCACCTGCACACCATACAGCGCTTGAACCAAACAAAATGTCCGCTGGTACTGGAAGTGACGACACAGATGGTGCCGCGCTACAGTCCAAGTACAGATAGAAGTCACCAGTAATCACATGTAATGTGCCAAAAGGATGGCACTTTATTGATGCGTCACATATGTCAAGAAACCAACGTTTCGGGGCCGCGCAGGGTCCCTTCATCAGTCACGATGTTGCCCTGATGCACGGCCCCGAAACGTTAGCTTCTTGACGCATGTGATGCATCAATAAAAGTGCCATTTGCATATTACAAGTCAGTGCTGAAGACTTCTGTCGTTACTTAGCATAGGCTTCTCTTCACTTGTACCAGTATATATCCATTACTTATGTCACAGAGTTTGGTGGACACCCTCCGTTGGCATGGGCTCCAGCCAACAACAGGTGGGACAGATGCCAGAGTGGTAAAGTCCTTAGAAAGACAGTCAGGGCAAACAACAGACAGTAGCAGACTAATGGCGCAAACAAATGGAGTTCATGTTCCAGTGAGGTATATAGAGCATTGATAGACAATACCAGATGACCGGGATATGCACAGACAGGTTACATGCAAACACAGACCAAAGAATACAAAGGAAAAGTCCAAGGCATGAACAGTTAGATAAAAGTCAACGACAGAGAGAGAGAGACCAGATTTCCATTCAGGGCATGACCAGCAGATAGACCTCTTGATCTCCCTTTCGGTACTGGCCTCAGTTTGGAGTCCACTAATGAGGTCGGGTGTGCACAGCAGAGATTTGAACTGCAGTACCGAGTAAGGACCAGCAGATAGTGAAGATTCCAGACTAGTCACAACCGGTTAGCTGGGCATTTAAAATTTTGGAAAAATATGTAAATGGCGGTCGTTCTTATACAAGAACCAGAATGTTTTTGGGACAACTTTTTTAACCTGTGTCTTATTTTTGTATTTATTTCTAGTGAGAAGGAACAGTGAGGCGCAACCATTGTAAAGCACTGCTTCAGTATTTTTATAATATATATTCTAGAGATGCACCGATGCCGGTATTTCCGGTATCGAGTACGAGTACCGATATTTTTTTTCCGGTGCTCGCCGATATCGAGTACCGGAAGTCCCAATCAGGAAGCCAGGCGGCAGCTGCATCCAAGCCTTATTAGCAGGGAAGCCGTCCCGATGCTTCTTGTCAATAGGTGACGAGAAAGCATGGAGCCGGCTTTCTGGCCGATCAGGAATAGGGCGCTGTGTAATGACGCGGCACCCGGATTCTTGATTGGCTCCATGCTCCCTTATCATGAGCTGACGAGGGAGCATGAAGCCGGCTTACCGACCAGTCAGAAAGCCGGGCGCCACGTCATTACATGCTGCCCGGCTTCCTGATTGGCCGGGAAGCCGGCTCCATGCTCCCTTGTCATGAGGTGACGAGAGAGCATGGGGTCGGCTTCCCGGCCAATTAGGAAGCCGGGCAGCGTGTAATGACGCGCTGCCCCTCTTCCTGATACCGGAAGTATCGGGCTAGGCATCGGAGCATTTGGGCAAGTACGAGTACTCTCCTAAATACTCGGCATCGGCACAGATACTAGTGCCGGTATCGGTGCATCCCTAATATTTTCTATATTTAATAAGAGTGAAAAATACAATTTTTGAATATTTTTCTGTATTTCTTTGCAGTCAGGAAAACATTTCATATATATATATGTTATTATACAAACAGTATTTCATATGTACTGTCTTGCCGTCGGCAGGGGGCGGTGTGATCCTTCAGTGTTTCAGGAAACTGTATAAATACAGACGTGCGTAGAAGAATCTTTGTTTGTACAAGTGAATGGTTCAGAGGAGGGACAACCCTCACCTCCCGTGGTGAGGAGACCATTTATATATTCAGATGCAATTGGTGGAGGTGCCCTCCGCACACCTTTCAGCAGTCCCGGCCAACAATCAAATAAATGGTGCTCGAAGTAACTTCACGGATGGCACCGTGCAAAACACAAGATTGAAGAAAATAGGTCACCAGCACTCCATAAGTTAAAATGAATGAGTCCTTTTAATGGACAATGATGTCACAGAAATCCAACATGAGCTCATGTTGGATTTCTGTGACATCATTGTCCATTAAAAGGACTCATTCATTTTAACTTATGGAGTGCTGGTGACCTATTTTCTTCAATCATTTATATATTCATTCTACTTCTGCAGTCAACATATGCAGAGCTAGTGCTGGGCTCTCTTATTGGACAGCCTAGAATGCACTGCACCCACACCGACACATGAGACCACATGTGTTAAATGTTAAAATAAGGATGTTACACAAATAATAAATAGAATTATATATACAATTTTTTTATGAGTAGTCACTTTCAAAAAATAAAACATATTGTCCAAGAATAAAAATACAGCAGCCAGTGGCAAAAATCAAATTCTCTCTCGGCCCAGTATCTTTCTTTTATGTCCTTCCCTATGACTGTGTGCAGTTTCTGCCTAATGCCGATATTGACCACTCACAATGGAGTAGCAGTGAGGCAGCTTTGACAGGCTGAAGTCAGTGGTGGTACTGGTGGGGCGAGGAGTGCTCCCTTAGCCCCTTCATGCTCGGTGGTATGTCCTCCTGTGCCGGGTGTATTTGTTTTTCTTTGATGATTCATTTGCTTCTTTGGTCCGGCTTACTTGTTACTAAACCTAATTTTCGTCATCATTTAGAGGAATGTCCCGGCCCCACTCAGAGCCCCTTCCTCTGTCTTTCAATATAGCAAAACTTTCAGGCCTGGACGAAGCACTTCCAGTTCTTTTAGCTCTCTTTTAGCTTCATCTGACATGAATTGGGAGCTGGCCCTAGAAGAAAGGACATAAACACTCATTAGATCTTAGTAGAAAGCTCTCGCACAATTTCCCAGTCACTGGAGAATTGGGAAAGAGGGCATTTGCTCCATGAAGGCCTGTATATAACTATATGTTGGGCTGGCGACCCCAAGTGAAGATGCTCCCTATTCTGTCAGAGAGGGGCCTACAGTCAGCAACAGTTCAATGGCATGTCCCTCTGGTAAAAGCCCCAATAAGCACACGGACAGTGTGTGACATGGATTTAAATGGCCGCAGCAGCCCCTCTATTAATCAAACCGACTTTAACAGTAACCAAAATAATAAACAAAATAATATACAAATAAATAATAAATAAATCTTAACGACTGATTGGATCCGAGAAGGGGGCTTTGGGTGCCCAACAGCCCTAATAAGGCCTCTACTAAAAACTGCTCCATGTCCCCAGCCGCACCCCAACCAGCTCGAGTACAGTTACTGCTCCCAAGTTCCAAGAGGCCAGATGTAATCAACTCCGATTTTGCAGACCCCTTAACCCGCCAAGCTGCCGTGACATAAAAAGGACATTGTAACCACCAGAAACCACAAAATTCAAGGCAAGTGGAACAACCTGCTTCCTCCGTCGACTTTCCGGAAAGAACGTCCTACGGCCCTTACAGTCCCAACCCATGCGGCTCCTCCCGGAACACCTGACCTCAACCTCCAATCAGTGAAGATCAGCTAATGCCCTTTTTTTTATTTTTAACCCCTTCTCCAGGGACTTTTCCTCCCCCCAGTCATGAAGCCCCTTCGTTCATTCTCACTAGGTTTGTCTTTATATACACTATCTACCTGCTTCCTGTTCAGACCTGCAAACACAGCTCCTGGAAGAGGGGAGTCTTCCAGAATCATCTTCCTTTTGTAGCTCTCATAGCAGCAATGGAAGACAACGCTGGAAGAAGGCAAGACTGCAAAATAAATTGTGCTCATTTGTAAAAAAAAAAAGGAAGCTGAGGGAAAGGAGTTATTGATGATGGTGTCATTGGATTTATCTAATATTTTATTTAGGGGAACCCATATCATTTTCACAGAGCAGCGGTCATCGTACTCAGCCCTTATAGTACTTCCTCCTTTACAATTCATCTCTTACAGTCCACGATTTTAATGATATAGATGTAGAAAGGTGTGTAACAATAAATCAGGTCACCAAGTCAACACCCACCTTTCATCATGGCCACCAATCACTGTGGTACACTGTGTGGTTCACTTTCTTTAGCCCCAATGATAAAGTCCAGTTACCGGTAGTTGTGCTTGCCCTTCATTCCAAAGGTTCCCCATCCTCCCCTCTTCTTAGTTGCCTCTAGGACATCTTTTAAGCCAACCTGTCACCTTCTGGTTGGCCATTGAGAGGTCACACTCCAAGTGAAACAGATTTATTAGAAATTATTCCTGGCACTCTTGAATCACAAAATAAACTCCTAATAATATTGTTTTATGGTGAACCTACCAGATTTCTTTCAGGCTGGAGGATTTGATTATTAGATGCCGGATGTGGTTGGAACCGACATCTGTTATTCTGTTGTTCAGCAGATCCAGCAATCTGAGGCTCTTGCTATCACTCAGTGACTCCAGTGATGTCGTACATTCATCCGTCAACCCAATATCCCTCAGACTGTAACAAAAAATTAGACAAAGAGTTACTCCTCGGTAGACTTTAATGTCTCCAAGAGCTGTTAAAATCCAATTTCCATGACCAATATCCAAGGATGTGAGGTATGAAAGTGTGACCCCTCCATTCATAATCCTACCCCATGGTGGCAGGAACTCTGGGACCGGTGCTCATTGTTTTGATTACATGGCTGAAGGTGTGGATCACCAGATATTTAAAGGCAGAGATTTAAAAATGGCAGATGGTGTAGCCCCTAAACCTCTTTCTACTTGTCCTCTCTGTCAAAAAATGTGAACCCCAATCTCCTCAAAAGAATGTCCCTTCTCCTTAAGGTGGTGGAAGACTGCCTGCAAGGTTCACCCTTCAATATTAGGCCATCATTAGTTGAGAGGATGTTTTGTCTCTCCAGTGTACAGGTCTTTGCATTCCATTGTGGAGTGACTATACCAGATTACTTCTCTTATGTTAGGTCTTTTACGTGGGACCTTCAATACCATCTACCATCCACCTATAATGTTTTAATACCTCCACCCCCATGATTTGACAACAAATGTCCCCTTCTGCCATGGATCTCGAATAGTTAACACTTTTCCCAGACTTCATGGCACCATGGGATTGGATTATGCAATTAGAACAGGTTTGCTTCTCAAACTTTCCCAACTCTAGGCCAATCATCATTAGTCTTGACACACTCATTGATAATTGATTGAAGGCGATTGAGTTGTCTGTGTGGGTTTACATGCTGGGGTATGTTTCTGACACTTAATAGAACTGAAAATGCTGCTTGTATGGGAAGTGAAACTTCTTCAACATTATAGAACAAGTCCAGTTGAATGGTAATAACTACTACTATCTACCATGACCCTACAAGAACCTTTGCAAACATTCCATAATTAGGTGTTGACACTTTAGACTATACATCTATGTTTACAGCAGAGCACAATGGTTCTTCAATACTATAGACACATTTAACTGAAAAAGTGAGATAATATACACTTTTGAGATAATACTACACTTCAATATTGAGTTGGCTCCGCCATTTGCCGCTATAAGAGCTTCAACTCTTCTGGGAAGGCGTCCACAAGGTTTAGGAGTGTTTCTATTGGAATGTTTGACCATTCTTCCAGAAGCGTATTTGTGAGGTCAGGTACTGATGTAGGACGAGAAGGCCGGGCTCGCAGTCTCCGCTCTGATTCATCCCAACGGTGTTCTATGGGGTTGAGGTCAGGACTCTGTGCGGCCAGTCAAGTTCCTCCACCCGTAACTCGCTCATCCATGCCTTTATAGACCTTGCTTTGTGCACTGGTGCGCAGTCATGTTGGAACAGGAAGGGGCCGTCCCCTAACTGTTCCCACAAAGTTGGGAGCATGAAATTGTCCAAAATGTCTTGGTGTGCTGATGTTCCCTTCACTGGAACCCAACCCCTGAAAAACACCCACACACCATAATCCCCCCTCCACCAAACTTTACACTTTGCACAAAACAGTCAGGTTAGGAAGAAGAGAAGAAAAAACATTCTTTATACTTGCTTATTTTCCTAATATTAAAGTAAGACCAAATAGAATGAACAGATGTACAAACCGCCAAACCCAGACACGTCCATCGGATTGCCAGACAGAGAAGTGTGATTGGTCACTCCAGAGAACACGTCTCCACTTCTCTAGAGTCCAGTGGCGGCGCGCTTTACACCACGGCATTCCACGCTTTGCATTGCACTTGGTGATGTAAGGCTTGGATGCAGCTGATCGGCCATGGAAACCCATTCCATGAAGCTCTCTACGCACTGTCATTGCGCCAATCTGAAGGCCACACCAAGTTTGGAGGTCTGTAGCTATTGACTCTGCAGACAGTTGGTGACTTCTACGCATTGTGCGCTTCAACATGCGCTGACCCCGCTCTGTCATTTTATGTGGCCTACCACTTCGTGGCTAAGTTGCTGCTGTTCCCAGTTGCTTCCACTTTGTTATAATACCACTAACAGTTGACCGCGGAATATTTATTAGCAAGGAAATTCCATGGAACACCTGAATCCAATGATTTGGAGGGGTGTCCTAATACTTTTGGCAATATAGTGTATGTTAATTATGTTGTTTATTCACAGTTTATTGTATCACACGTGTCTGAATGGTAGCGTTATACTTTAAAATTGCCCCAAAATATTATTGTCTCAGTCAGTCCTGTTATACTCACTCTAATTCCTCTATGCGGCTTGTGGTCAGAGCTTCCATCAGATCCCTGAAATGAGGACCCTTCAGATTGTTCCTAGACAGGTCCAGTCTCTTCAATGTCTGGTTATTTCGTATTCCCGATGCCAGGTGGGGGCAGGAACTGTCTGTCAGTCGATTGCTACCCAAACTGTAGAAGAAGAGAAAAATGTTTAATTGTATCTACAGCTAAATCTTTATTTTTCATGTTTGGATGGAGTGGGGAAGGGGTTAGAGTTGGTTCTCTTGACCATTGTCACTGGGAAATAAAGTGGTAGGAAAATCCAAAATGTTTCTAGACCAGAACAGGAATAGAGGAGAAATCTGCTGCATTGGAGAACATGGGCAGATCTGGCCACCCCACAGTAAAATACCTCAGCTGTGGGATCTCTGATATTCAGCATATTATTGGGTATATAATGGACAAATCTCATTCCCTCCTCCTTCTATACTTGGACAATTCTTTACCTCCAGTGTGCTTTGCTTTTTTCATCCAACACTGAGTACACCTCTCATCCACACTGTCCCTTCGCCATACTGCTCCTTTTCCCATGCTATAATGTACCCCCTGTACCTCCTTTCTGCTGGAATTATTGTAACCCCTGTACTGATTCTTCCCCTGGCTTCATTGCACTACCATACTTCTTCTCTCTGCTGATTCCAGCCCCCCTTAACATCGCCCACCTCTAACATTCACCTTGTGCTGGACCTCTGCATCCCCACAACTTTCCCCCTTACTACATTCATCAAAACCCTTCATGAATCCCCTTTAATACTATCATCATTCTCCTCCAACCCCTTTCTTTTGTACTAGCCCCTAGTATTATGTTTCTCCTTCCCCTCCAGCATTTCCCTGTACATGCGCTCTTCTTCCAATGGTGCCCAGCTAGGAGGACCATGGTGACCATAATTATTCATTTCTCATCACTGGAAGATCAGATTCCCTTGCATACGGTGAGCACTACAATATTATTGTCTCACTCAGTCCTGTTATACTCACTGTAATTCCTCTATCCGGCTTGTTGTCAGAGCTTCCATCAGATCCCTGAAATGAGGACCCTCCAGATTGTTCCCAGACAGGTCCAGTATCCTCAATGTCTGGTTATTTCTTATTCCAGATGCCAGGTCGGGGCAGGAACTGTCTGTCAGCTGATTATTATCCAAACTGTGGAAGAAGAGAAGAAAAAATATTCTTTATACTTGCTTATTTTCCTGTAATTAAAGTAAGACCAAAAGGTTTCAACAGATGTACGAAGGGTCTGCATGACTATGGGTAGGAATAGGTCCAAGAGAAGGTTAAATTGTGAGTGTAGTGTATGGAGGTGGAGGTCTTACTTGACTGGAGGTTGACCGGTCAGATGGGCAATGAGGAGCTCTAAGGGTTGACCCCATGTGTGTTTCACTTTGAAAGGGAATTTATACTTATCTCAGTGAATGTGGTGAAAATTCCCTAGACCCAATCATGGGCGAGGAAAATTAATAAAACTGTATCTTTGCACATGATTGGATGATGGAAGTCAACAGTTTCATGTTGTTCAAGAAAGCTAAGGGAAAATTCACTTTGCTAAGTGAACAGTCTTTTTTTCTTTAGTAAATCAACCCTATTGCATTGCCAGCTCAAACAGGAAGATAGGTGTTGCTAGAAATATAGCATGGTCCTATTTTTATGTACTTACAGCATGTACAACACATAGGGAAATGTTCATGTATGGCAAAGATTTACTAGATATGTTTTTTTCCATTATGCCTTCGCATGAGCTTTAAACATACAGCAGCTAGAACTGATGAGGGGTGTGAATAATTTCTTGACCAATGGCATGCGTGTATAAAATATCAAGTCTCAATCAGTCCGGTTAAACTCACAGCAACTTAAATATTTGGCTTGTTCTCAATGCTTCCATCATGTCATGGAAATGAGGACCCTCCAGTTTGTTTTCAGACAGGTTCAGCGTCCTCAGTGTCTGGTTATCTCTTATTCCGGATGCCAGGTGGGGACAGGAATTGTCCATCAGAACATTACCAACCAAACTGTAGAAGACAGAAAAAAAACATTGTCTAAGCAATAATTGAATTTTATCTTAATTATTTTTATGAATCTCTACATGGATAGAGCATGTTCACAGTGCATGCCCACGGAGCATTGGTTAGCATTGGCATGGAACAGGCTAAGCCATGATAGCACTCAGAGCTCACTGGTCTTCTCATGTCATCTTAGGACTTGATCAGACCTAACCTATGCATCGTAGATGATCTGCTGGTACTGATCCATATACAGTTAGTATAATCTTTACCTCAAATCCGTGATGGTAGGTAGAGCTGGTGAAAGGTTTTTCAAACCTTCACTCTGAATATTAGAAAAGCTTAGATTTACTTTATTTGTCTTTCTGCAGGACTGAAGATAAAAAGACAGAACAGAGCAGTCTAGAGGGCTGAGGGGGACATTAGAAAAGTCAACAACTTTGTTTGATCCAACACATTGTGACACCAGAGCCTTATTCCTACTCTCATGGAGATAGTAGAAGACATTAAGAAGATCTCTCTTGTCTCCTCGATCTTTTCCCATTTTTGTCTGCATCCAGGTGATGACATGTCTGGCAGCCGGAGTAGACAATTCTCCCACCTGAGACTTTAACATGGATCTAGTAGAAGAGTCTGAGAGGCCGCAGAGGAAACGGAGAAATATTTCAGCACGGCCGTCATTGTGAGATTCAGCATCATCAAGTGTTTCCTGTAATCTGTCAGGAATATAGTTAATGAAATGGACTAAAGCAGCAAAAAACTCCTGAAGAGTGAGATGTAAGAAGGTGTAATCCACATCAGGAGGCTGACCAGATTCTATCATGAAACATGAAAAGAGATGTGTATCATTTCTCACACTGAATGAGTCCAGATGACGCTCATCAAATACAATCATGCGATTCATGACTCCATGTTCTGCCATCTGCCCAATAGATGTCAGAAGTTCCCGGGCAGGGTGACCATCATCTTTATTCTGGCAGTGATTGGCCAGAATGTTGGAGACAAAAGTCACAAAGAGTTGTGTCACTGTTTTGGGCAATGATGTCATCAGCTGATCAGTGATTGTTGGTTGGGCTCTGAAGCACATTGATAACACTGTACAGATGATCCAGCAGTATGATGGGATATAACAGAAAGTGTACAGCGTGTCATTCTCCTGCACGTAATGAAAAGCCTTTGCTGACAATTCCTCATTTCCAAAGAGATTTTCAAAGTAGATCAGTCTGTCTCCGTGGAGAAATCCCATGATCTCAGCTATTCTCTGGAAGACACCAGTATCAACTGATGCCAGTCTGGTTGGGCGGCTGGTCATCAGTACAGAACAACCCTTAAGAAGACTCTGCCTCACCAAACTGGCCACAATCTCACCACACTTTACCCTCCATTTATTATCGGTGCACAGTTTTTTTGATCTGAAATCCATTTGGTGAATAGTTTCATCTAAACCATCAAATATAAAGAGAAGTATTTCTGGATTTTGTAAAATGTCTCCAATCTGACTCCTCAGATACGGATATTGTTGAAGAATCATCTCCTCCAAGCTGACCTCTTTCAGTTTATTAAGCTTCCGGAATCTGAAGGAGAAGACAAAAGCAAATCTCTGGTAGTGTTTTCCGGTCACCCAGTCATTGACAAACTTCAGTATCAGTGTGGTCTTCCCTATTCCTGGCACTCCGCTCACCATTACTGCATGTGGTGCACATTGTGACTGGTGGCTCCAGCGGAAAACCCTATTGAGAGAAATGGGTTCCAGTCCAGATTGTGTTCCCCTCAAGCACTCCTCATGTTTTATTCCGGTCAGTATTAGCTCATTCTGGGGACGCTGCTTAAACTGATTGGTGGTTACTACTTTCAAGTTCACATAACGCTCGTTGATGAGGAATCTTTGTGGTACCAGGGTAGTTCCTGGGGGTCTATGCTCCACTAGAGTCTCATTTTTCTCCATGAGATGTTGCTTGTGCTTCATATGAATATCTAGGAATATAATATAATGTAAAATGTTAACATAATTCCGAAATTGATTGGCCGTCGCTGGCAGCACAACCGGTTCTCATTCAGGTGTTTTGCAAAACGTCTCTATAAAAACGACAGAACTATCCATTCAGAAGATGCAACATATCTACTGCGCCTCTAAAAACTGATTATGTAATTTTGTTATTGTGCTTATCCCACTGAGTCACCACTACTTATATAATGAATGTGTTTAAAGGAAAAAATTCAATCAGCAGCCTTCTATAAGAGAAGAAAACCTACACTGCTGGTGGTAAGGAAGTGAAATCTTTGCTCTCATGCAAAGGCAGGATTACTACTACCCTTTTTCCCCGAAAATAAGACCTACCCCGAAATTAAGACCTAGTACTATTTTTGGGAATTGCTAAAATATAAGACCTACCATGAAAATAAGACCTAGTTGTGACAATTCCCATGGCCGCTAAGGCATAAGGGGGAACTTGAATAGCCGCAGGAGAGAATCAGCGGTGCCAACGAAGCCAGCGCTAGAGGACGCGAGGCGGCAGCGCAGGGAGCACACCCGCATAAGCCGATGTTTCCTCTATAGTGCCGTCTCCTGCCACAGGCGGAGTGATACCAAATGCACTCCGCCTGTGAGGAATCTATAGTGAAAGTGCGCTTCGTTCATTCTGGTTACCAAATTGCTCTTGGAAAGGTATGGCACCCCTGATTGCCCTGATCACTCTATTCTTAACTTTGCCAGTTTGGATTATTAATTTGGATTTACATTAACTTTGGATTGTTATACATTAAAAACAAAAATAAGACCTACCCCGAAAATAAGACCTAGTGTGTTTTTTTGAGCCAAAAAAAATATAAGACAGTGTCTTATTTTCGGGGAAACACGGTACTATCTGACACTTCTCGGTGTGATGGATAGTTGGGGACATAGAAAAGAAGAATGTATTCCCTCTGCTCCTTAGAACCATCTTGTGCCCATAATGCAGTTGTAGCCCCCATCACCTTCTGTGATGTGGCTACTAGACATTTAATGATAGCCAGGGCTGTAGTCAGCCTGGCTGGAATTATAGTGGCAGTTATCTGGTTAATCCCAGGTGTCTGACATTGCCTGTACCCCCTTGGGTGGAGTGTGACTCTGTCATATTGTGGGACAGCCAGTGAGAGATACTGTAGTGTATGTACAGTACAGCAGCCAATCACTGGGCTTCTCTCAGCCAGTGGTGCATGCTGGGATAGGGTACATATACCGGAGGGATTTGCCATGTGCACAGACTAGCCAGGACCAGCCATGGAATAGGGCTGGGTGCTGTTCAGCCTGCCCCCCAGGCTAGGCCTAAGGCCTGGGGGTGGGCATGGGCTGGTGTGAGGAAAAGGTTTCCCTGAGACCTCCAACAAGGAGGAGTTCTGTTTGCTGTTAGAGGAAGAGAACCGGGACCAATGCTGGCTCTTGAAGTACCCTGGAACTAAGAGGACTTCAGGAGTATGGTCGGTGTCTTTCCTGCTTGAGGATCTGTATCCACCCTGCTCATCTGCTACATCAGTTGCCATCCGCTGCCTCCCAAGTGGATCTACACTGATATGTCAACCAGGTCTGGTGAGTCAGGAGCTTTTGTCAGTTACCTCTGGAAGCTTAGAACCCCAAACCCCTCCCCCATAACCTCTCTCCCCAGTGGAGATGTTCAATAAAACGTTATTCCGCATTATACTACTGGAGTGGACATCAGTCTGTGGGCACTAGAAGAAGGGCGGTTAGTGCTAATGGGTGGGCAGCTGAAGAACATACTCTAGACAGACTAGAGATGAATCGGGCATTCAGCGGCTCCTTCGGGGGTGAACGCTACACAGTATTACATTATATTACCTGCGACCTGAAAATAAAATACTCTAAGAACGTTCGGTTTTGCCTGTATTTGCACAGAATGAGATTCAAAGGGCGAATGGCTCTGTCAAATAGTTTCTAAATAGATTCCAAAGTGAATCCTGTGTTCTATCAGATATACATCGTGTTTTATTTACCCTTCAGCTCCGGGGTCAGAGAGTGTCCCTGTTCATCCAGCAGAATCTGATCCACAAGTTTCTCACCTGAAGAGAGAAATATAACATGCCGGGTCTAAGTCATGTACGTCTGAAATGGACCTTTAATATACAGCAAACCACAGATTAGAAATATGTCTA